TGTCTAAACTGGGTTTCTCAGCTCCTTACACCCAGCACTCCCGATCTTACTGTACCACTATGCCTTCTCTAGCCCTATATCACCCACACTTTTTGTTGGCTGGGCTCCCCGGAGTGGTACAGCATCAGCTCTTCTGAGTAAGAGGGTTTCCTGGCACAGCACAGTTACCGGTTCCTGTATTCCTGTTTGCCAGAGCTTTCCGAACCTTCTGTGGAATCTCCTCAGTAACTCTGTCATGGTCACAGGATAACAGTACCCATTTTCCAGATGAGTAATCAGAAGGTGAGAATCTGGCCACAATGACACAAAGCTGCAGGCAGGTAGAAATGGGGTCTACCCAAACCCTTTTGGACCAAACCTTTCTACCTGTTGTGACTTTCCGCACTGACTGACATCAAGCTGAAGAGACATGTCTGATCATGAAGTAGGACACAACCAACCAGGAAGCCATGCTGTGTAGATGAGGAAGTCCAGGGTCCGAGACAGAGCACTCAACGTGGAGAGAGGCTGCAGTAGAGAGCCACAGATGAGGTGACAGCTGGGTGGACTCAGAAGGATCAATGGGGTGTGGAGAGCAGAGAGGCCCACAGAGAACTCGAGGTCAAGGACCCATTAGCATGGTTAATGCCTTCGAAATCAGATGTTTCGGGCTGGGGCTGTAGCTCAATGATAAAACGCTTGCCCAGCATGTGTGATCCTCAGCATCACATAAAAAATAATAAACAATTAAATAAATAAATAAAAATAAAGTTGTTGTGTCCAGTTATAACTAAAGAAAAACAGTTAAAAGAAAAAAAATTAGATGTCTCATATAGTCAATAAAACAATGTATCTTCCTGTCTGATACCCAAGTCCCCTTGATTTTTGTTACCTTCCTCAATTTAAAATGTTTCTGTCTTTTGAAACACCATGTAACCCTCTTAGGAAGGCTTTTCCTACCCAGTTACACAGGTACCAGGTTATTTCATACTTTGTTTCATATTTCTTCAGAACACCATTAATTCCTAATTTAATCAGATCAGCTGATCTGATCCAAAGCAAAATCCACAGATTAACTCATGTATTAAGAAAATGAAATCACCAAATTAAAAAGTCAAGACACAAATTCTGAGATGAAATGACCCACCTGTTGTCAAGCTATGCCAAGCTCTAGAAAACCAGGTTCCAACAAGACTTCTGACAGACTCTCCCTAGTTTCTTGGGAACAGCAATAAATATATAAAGGGATCAAGACCCACATCTTTCCCGCAACTAGCAGAATGTAGTACATTCAAAAGCAGCGCACATTTGACACACAGGATTCTAGTTACTTCTTGCTTCTGAGATACCTCCTCTTCAAAAGGCTTGAAAATTCTCAGAATTTTAAAACGCTTGCCCAGCATGTGGGATCCTCAGCATCACATACAAAATAATAAATAAATAAATAAAGTTATCGTGTCCATTTATAACTAAAGAAAAATAGTTAAAAGAAAAAAAAATTAGATGTATCATATAGTCAATAAAACAATGTATCTTCCTGTCTGATGTCCAAGTCCCCTTAATCTTGGAACCCTTACAAATCTTGTATTACTTTAATTAACACTTCCCTCAAAGGCATTTTAGTACAATTTTTGGAGGTGTGATCTCTTTGGGGCTTCAGGACAGCTAGAATCCCCAACAGTCACTGAATAGTACAGCACACTTGGGCTCTTGAGCCAGTCAGCAAGGCTTCAAACCCTTGTTCTGCCACACAGTAGCTGTGGGACCAAGTTAGCTGCTCTCTGTGCCTTGATTTCTGCATCTGAAACTGAGAAGAACTGCCTATTGGGTTATGTGAAGATTAGATTAACTGACACAGGTAAAGAAAGACCTTGGAACAGTATTTAGCACACAGCAAGCATTCAACACATGTTAACTATCACCACCACTCGGCTAGGTCCTCTACCAGGCACTGGGGTGGGAGGACAGTGGCACTCAAGCTGAAGGAACTCCAGTCTACCTGAGACAGACAAGTGAAGGACAGTAAAAGGTGTGAGTTTCGTGAGCAGGAACCATGCTGAGGGTGACCAGACAGCACAGTGAAAACCTGCCCAGACTCTCACTCTCCCCCAGAGCAGCCAACACACAGCACGTAAGCATGTGGAGACAGAAGCCAGCAGCATCTCTTCTCCCTAGAAGTCATCCTGACTTCTCTATTTGACCCTTGGTCACCTTGGTCACCTCGCCCACCTTTCTGCACAAGCAGGAGAGGCCAGTCACCACTGTGGGAACTCTTGCTAATTTCCTGTGAGTCCGCTCACCCCAACTTGCAGGGAGATGAGAATTACTGATGGCACAATGGAACCATGGCTCTGAACAGGACAGCTAATCTGATCCAAAGCAAAATCCAATGCTTTAAAACAAATAAATTGTACACAGTCCAATACTGGCATCAGAGGTTATGACTGAGGAATTATTTGTTAAAAAAAAAGTCAATGAAAACCAGAGCCTTTCCCATGCTACTCACTCCATGACCTTTGAAGTCAGGCCTGCCTACTTCTACCTGAACACCAGCCTATGCTTAATGGGCCACTGTCCCTACTGAATCAGGAGAGAATCCCATCTTTGATGGTTCTGAGGTACTTCTGACAACCCATCACAGGGACAGAAGAAAGACAGTCCAAAGTGCAGGGATATATGAACTCTGCAGAGTGGGACTGAGATCAGAACAGAACCCTCAAAAGTCTCACAAATCACAAGTTTACAAAGACACTTTGTCATATGCCTTCAGTTCTGTAGTCCAAGCACCAGAGGACAAGAACATCCCCTTGAAGTCCCTTTCTCCTCCTAACTATTCCTCATTTCTCCTTCAAAACTGAGTTTTGGCAGAACTAGTTTCTTGAGCCTTGTTGCTTTAACAACCCCAGTTGCTAATGATTATATTTTGACATCCATTCTGTAGTAATAACACAATTCAACATCACAACTATTTGACAAAATGATAAGATTATAAATTGTGTTAATCTCAATAGATTACATTTAAGGCATAAAGGAACTAAAATAGTTAGCTTTGAATACATACAATAATAACAACAACAATAAAGGGTAGCTAGCTATCATAAAATAACGTTACTCCCCCTTCCAAAAAAATGACAACCTGAACACCAAACTTTTCATCGAACTGGGGATGTATCTTGGGGGGGTATACAGCCCTTGCCCAGTATCTTAAGGCTCCAGGTTTGATCACCAGCATGACTAGGTTGGGCAAACCGCTCACAATGCAAAAAGTTCTAATCAGTTTACTTCAGACAATAGAGTATTTCTGCCAAGACTTTTAAGGGAAAGAATGCTATTTTCAAATGCATTAAAAAACACATCAGTTTAGATTTAAATTTTAATTCATTCAGCTTATCAATAAACTACAAAACAGAAATTAAGACCAGCACTTAGTGTCCCACCCTACACAAACAAATTTTGCCTTCTTTCAAAAGACTCACATGTGAGGTGGAACTCTGACCCACTTGGCAAGTGAAACAAAAAAACTAGAGTTAACATGTTTCAAATCCATACAAAAGAAACAAAATCAATAGGGTATTAGTTTACATAAAGGAGTCACCTAGTTTCTATCCCAAACCATATACCTCTTTGGTAGTGTCTGAGAGCAGTTTGCCTTGCTGCATGACCAGGGCACAGTCTACCCGTGGGGCTACGATCTCCAGATGTCCTCAAGGGCCATGGTCAAATCAGACACTGCCAGGGAGGGGAACAAGGTGAAGGAGGAGGGAGCAAAAGGTCATGAGGCGCCAAGGTGTAGGACCTCGGCCCAGACGTCTGACCAGAGGCTTAGTAATCTGGGACAGGGAAGGGTACTTGATGCAAAGACAAATCATTTTTAAGTCAAAGTCAAAGATTCACTGCTTAGTAAGATGGTTGAACAAGAACAAAAAAACCACGAAATGTCTCGTGATTATCATTACCCTACCTTTAGAGCTCTGCTGGCTACCTGCCCACAACCCTAAACTTCAGGCCCTGCAGCCTCCGAAGCTGTGATTACGCGAAAGAATCAGGCAGCAGAGATGCCTCAAGGTTCAAGACTAAATTCTGGATGAGAGACTTTAAAGCGAACAGTGGAGGAGAAAACACCCGCAGTGAAGGCAGCCTAAGGGCAAGCTGCCCACCTGGGGTGAAGGCTGCGCAGAGGAGGCCCGGAGCTGCCTCCCGGGGACAGGCAAAGGTCCGGTGGGCGCGCCCCAGCCCTCCCCGAACCGGCCGCTACAGGACCTGCCACTAACACCCCGAGATACCCTCCGCGGACACTCGGGGGCCGGTGTTCACCCGCACCCCACCTTACCTTCCACGGACACAGCGAGTCCAGGCTCCACGATGCCCCAAACCCTGTCCACCAACCCCAGGAGGCCGGCGTCCGGGGCGCCCCGG